ACGCAAATCTAAAACTTCTTGAATTCAAGCATTTTTTGAGAAAACTGCCAACATTTTCTTATCGATGGTTCACTTTCTAAAAAGGCCATTTATTTTTAAGTGTTTGCTGCCAATAAATGAACAAAAATGGAGCATGAATTGAAGGAATTTTACGAATCATGGTACAGTTCGCAGGAAACTTCACAAATCTTCCCAATCAAGGATATGAAATTGCATTTCGGCACATTTTCACGTATTTTGCAACGCATTTTAACGCTTTTTCCGAGGCTTGAAGATGATTCAAACAAATCTGATATCAATTATTATTCTCTATTAAATGCATGAGCTGATAAAAACCTTAGTGCGAATTTCAGATAATTTTTTCTTGATTTTCTAGAGTAATTTCTTATGTCCCAAGCATCAGAATTGGAAAAATACATGCAAAAAAGTTCAGTTTCACCGTTTGCTCTTTATGGCGAATAAATAAAGCATATTTTCGTAATTACAACGAAAAGCTGAATGAAGTCAGACGGGAATTATGGAAAGAAAATTTTACATAGAGAATTGGTTTAAAAATACAGGGTGTTCCTTAAAAAGATGCCGACATAACATGCGATTGATTCTATATCTACGGTTCAAAAGCGCATTGTTTTGTAAAATAATCCGTATAAAATGGAATTTTATGAACATTTTATAAAAAGGCTCCTAAATGGACAAGAATTTACAATTAAAACATTTTTTCGCATACTGCTTTGATTTGAAAAACTTAAAGTTCAACCTCTTTAACCAGAGAAAGTTTGAGATCATTACCTTTTTGCAGGAGCTTCCATCAACATCTTAAAAATTAAGTAACTTCATATATTAATAATTACCGCATCGTCATTAGGAATCTGCCTCTGATTATCATTTTGAACGCACAAACACTCTAAATACACCAACCACAAGAACAATAGCGCCAATTTAAATCCGAATGGCATACTGGATTCGAACGCACTGTCCCGAATAAAACCTAATTAGCAAATTTTCCGAATAAATTATTACGAAATTCTAATGAAATTCGACTAATTTTGGACTCTGACTCTGAAAGTATTGTTTGAAAATGTTGATCACTTGATTTTCAAATGAGAAACCCTGAACTAAGGAAATTATTGACACCTAACAGCGGCTATTTAAATAAAGGATCGCGCTAACAAAGTGGCCTGAATACATATACATATGTATATACCTGCGACTGGCTTATGTATAAATATAAATACATATCTACGTATGGGATTTTCATTTTTGGACTTATTTCTCAGAATGAAAGTATGGCGATGGGTGATTCACATTTGCTGAGAAACCGGTCGGGACTAAATTCCAGTATTTCCGTCTGTTAACGGCTAAGATAAACAGTAGAAGATGTGATTAATAATAAAGCACAGGTGCTCTTAAGCTGAAACAATAATTAATGCCAGATGATTTGAAAGATAATAAATACGGGGACTTTTGGTAAATTCATCATCGCCGTATCAAGAGAAGTATTGCAGCGCTTTAAGAGTTTTTTTTGTACGAAATTGTTAGATGATTCTTATTTCTCCATTCACATTGGAAACTTAACATTTGTCAGAATCATCGACGAAAAACTGAAAATGAAGTTTTCGGAACCCTTAACCAGCCATGGAACAAATTCACATGTTGTATATTTTTCTCACGAACTTCAACTCGAACCTCTTGATTGTAATTGATCACTGTATTGTAAAAATCTGTTGTACATACCAAAATTGTTGTTTTAAATATTTTAGCGCTTATTGTCTTTCCATTTTTTGTTAATTTTCGCGAGCCGCATGGCTCTTTAAGCACAAAATTTATTTTGTTAGTTGTGCTTTGAAACGTTATTATACTGTTTACGCAAAAAATCACTTTTCTGGTGGCAATTTGGAAAACTTTTCACATGCAATGCAAATAAGCAATAATAAATACATGCGATGCGGTCTTCTTGAGCAAAAAATAGGCATTTGTTTCCTTTTGTTTTTACGTTAAAAAAATCACAGGAGGTTTTTCGAATCAGTTTTTTATACTGCTAAAGAAAAAAATGGGATTTGAATTTCTTGCTTAAAAGTTTCTTGTGAAAATTTGTTATATAAAATTATAAATACATATTTCTTGTAAAAATATGTTCTTGTTAAATGTTATATGTCGCAATAAGGATGGCAAGCGGCTGTATCTTGGAAAGTATTTGTTGTAGTGTTAAAAAATGATAACAAACTTGAAGAAAATAATTAACTGGAAATTATTTGCAAATTTCTCAGATGACCGCTAGCTGGCGCAATTGCAACGGTATTTTAAAAAGTTAAAAAGTCAAAATATTATAAAAAATCGTGTTACTTTCTTTATAAACTTTTTTCTTAACTTGTCAAATAAAAGGTGGGAGGAAAGTCAAACCGCTTAATGCAAAGAAACCGACGGTAATTCCGACACGGCTTTACCGATTTCAAAGTTTTTACTATCAATTGAAAGCAATAAAAACTCTACGATGTGTGATATAAAAACAATTTTAATCATTTTCCAAAGATCCGCTGTTCAAAAAAATCTTTATTTATTAGTAGTATGGTTTTTTATGATCTTTTGACTAAACTTACTAGATGTTTAACTTATCGGCACAATTTCTGTATAAAATCGAATTTTAAAATTCCGTTTTTAATTCCTCCATCGAGTGGTCATGTGAGAAATTTGAAAATAATTTCCAGCAAATTATTTTCTTCAAGTTTGTAATCAATTTTTTTTTCGAACACTACACCAAATGCTTTCCAAGATACAGCCGCTTACCATCCTTATTGCGACACCCGGTATAGTGCATTTTTCCAACATGCACACTTATAGAAACCCTAGATTACATAACTTTATCTGATAAATTCCCCATTTGTATCAGTTTATATAGTACCTTGAGCGCGATTGCCACATGTACACACTTTCTGCTATAGCTGTGTTGAAGTTAACGGTTTTGGCGGATTCTAACCTGCCGGTTTGTTTAGTACTTAGCTTAATTTTTTATTTGAAATTGTTTGAATTTCTCCAACTAGATTTTGTCACAAGTAGTTGAAGCTCCACCATAAGATAGTGTTCTACCTATATTTGAAAGCGTCAATCGTTAAAACCTTGTTGTTAGTTTTCCCTGTTTTGACTGGCATGACTAAGGATCAAAACTTATCAAAAAATCCGAGTTGCCGTGTTCCCGCTGAACTCTAAGAGCTTTTACTGCCTAAACGTTGCAATTTCCAGAACGATGACTAGGTTTTAACATTAAATCAATCCTTTCCTGACTGTTTAAAGCCACCGTTTGACAATCAGTAAAGTGCCTGTTGTGCTAAATGCATTCTAGTCTTGGTTTCCTGATCAATTGACTAGAAAACGCTTTGTTAATTGGTATTTTTGTGTTTGTTGTTAATTGTTTTTAATTTTCTAATCAGCTTTACATTATACTTTAACGATTATTCTGTGTATCTTCGAGACAGTGGTTTTAAGGTGAGAACAATAGCACTTAATCCGGTAAGTTAATTGATGTCTTCAACTTCTCAGCTATTTGTTATCTGAACTCAGTTTTAGCAAATTAATGATGGCAGACCAATCCATAAATGAGATTCTAGTTCAAATTGAGGCCGGCAAATTTTCCCTAGCAGTTAAGGCTCTAAAAGACAAAAAATTAGACAAGCGAATCGGCCTGAGGTTTTTCCACGGGGCCTCCAAAGCATGTCGCATTTCAGAAGCAGAATGTGATCTTGATGGAATTGAGAAACTTTGCAAGTTACTGGTATCTTACTTGGATTCGCTCGAAGGAGCCGACGTGACCAATTATTTGCGCTCACTTTACTTTATCATAAGGCTGATATGCAATAGGGTAAGTCCCGCAAGCATCAACCAGTTATTGCTAAAGCTTTCAATCGGTATTACAGGAGAGATTCGCAGATATTCCTAGAATGAAGACCATTTTGCTGCCCACCTTTTTAAGCCAAGGGGCTTGTAAGAGCGGCTCGGAGAGTGCAGAAGTGTATACTTCCATCACTAACTTGATATATAACTTTGTTTCTCGACAAGGACGAGCCAAACCCACAGTCTTGGACAGCTGCAGACTGGAAACGCTTGAAATTCTGCTGCAAATCCGCAAAACTTTCAACAGTCTGAACGAGCTAATGGACTTTGCGTCTGTATGCTATAAAGTATTGCTGGTCTATAAACCGAGGAACGATCAAGTGCTGGCATTCTATAATATCCTGCTGCAAGTGGTTTCTTCAAAATTTCACAACATTCCGGAATATTTGAGCTCCATTCAAGTCAGCTTGGGTCCCATTACTTCTTCAATACTATCAGATGCAGTTCTAAATGAACAATTTTCGTTTGCTGAGCAGTTTTTAGACAATGTGGAGTCTGCACTTGGCCAGTCACAGGAAGGCTTTCAGATATTCAAAGCTATTACTTCATTGTTCCCACATCCGGATGGGGAGATGGAGAAGCGCGTGAATAAAGCCAGAAAAATTATTCATGATTTCAAGTCCAGCGACAAGAAGCTCTTCTACAACCTGGTATATTTACTGGAAGCACCCATTCAAAATATTCTATTGTTCTACAAAAAAACAGGTCTGCATAATTGGTCAGAAATTAGGTTGTTGGACGTATCACAGTTCATTATCGACGACATTCTTTCCTACTCAATGATCTATCCAAATGGATGTAACTGTGGATGTTCAGTAAAGAAAAACTACCTCGGCATGCTGGAGATCAGTTATACGCTGACATTCTTGTGGGACGATTACATAATGAAAATCGGAAATGCTGGCAATGACTTTGTTTTGTACCTGGCCAAAATATTCAATATGTTATATTCAGTCATGAAAAAGCTGAAAGAGGCTGAATGCCAAAAATGGAAGTACTTTTACAGTTGCTTATCGCTCAACAATTGGAATATCATAGTGAGACTGTTCAACTTGAATATTGACTATGTGAGAAGGATGTTGTTAAACTTTTTAATTTCCGCCTTTGATTTTGATGGCATTCAGCCTCAGTTCCGGAAATTATCTATTTATACCAAGGCATTTACAATTTTTTGCGAGATGGAAGTTCGACAAAAAAACTGGCTGAACGCTATGGGATTATGCGCCCTTCACTGTCTTCTTTATCCCGAGGCGAGCAACGTTATATTTAACAACTTCTGGATTATGCTCAAGGTAAACTCATTTACTTTAGTACTTCCAGTTCAATTTTTCTTTGATTTTAGGTGGAGAATAAGGCAGATCTAGAGATCCTGAATCAAACGTTAATTAGTATTTTACACAGTCAAAAGAAGAAACTTGGCCATATTCTGGACTTTGAGAGTCTTCTCACTAAGTCCAAGGAAATCGAAGTGCTTGAGTACGAGTTGGTTCGATATCGGAAGCGCTGGACGAATAAAATTTCCATGTTGGCTACACTTTCCCATATTATTGAAGTATTAATACTAATAAATTAATTATTTTTTTTATAAAAAATACCGGTGCTAAAATACAGGCGCGCTTCATTTTTGTACTGTAGTGTAGACATTTTCTGTAAAAAGTGGCTTTTCAGATTGCCGATATTCCAAAACTTGCCGAGATTTTTGTTAATGTATATGGGGATGGACAAGTGCAAGTACACCTAGACTACCTTCCCGCATTGACTAGACTAAAAGCAATGTTCGAAACTTCTTTGAATGTAGATCCATCGAGTTCCACTCTTAAACTAGCGTTGGCTGGTGTACATTTTTATTTATTTAAACTGTGCTGCAAGAAGAGTGTGGAAAAAAATCGAACAGAAATGGAAAAGTCTATGAAAGGTATATCGTCTTAGCCTTAGGTAAACATTGAGACAAGCACAACTATATTATTGGGAGATTGATTTTAGTACAAGAATCCGCCAAAAAACGCCAGCAAGTTGAGGTGGTTCCCAAAGATGCGGATGATGAATGTGATATAGTGTCAGCGTACTCCAATCTGCGGCTTACCAAATTTATGGAAGTTATGCAATCGCTCAACACTTCCCTGCTTATAATTGAACAACTAATTCCGACGGAATTGAAGCCTAAAGAAATTGCCACCGTTGCACATTTGTTGACTCTGATTGGCTTTGATTACAGGTCTTTTGAAGCCTAATAAGCTATTCTTCTGACTATATAAGTAATATTTTTCAGACTGCATGGCGATTCGGTGAAAAGCCTGAACGCCTTTCATTTGTTGCTGAAATACAGCGCCAACATTGAAAACTTTGAGCTTTGTTTGCTTGGAATAAGTTTTCTCATTGAATCCGCGGATGTAACTGAGGATTACGTAAAAGAATTAATCCGCAAAGGAGATGAATTGGCCAAGGGCAAAGCAAATGGAGGGTAAGCAGTCTAAAAGAAGCGTAAGTAGCTTGGAGTGATCCAAAGGTATGGATTAATAATTACAGATGTTCTAAAACGCTGGCCACTTATCATCTGTGCAAATCCAAAGCATATCTATTCGACAACCCCAACTTTTCCTATGAAGCCTGGAAAGTGGCCGACAACATTTGTTCGGCCCATGAGAAGGAAGTTGGTTTTCCAATATTACGGGCTCAATTGCATGTGCTTTTACACAAACTCACTAGAAGTTGCAATTTTATTGAAGGCCACCACTATGAGGCCCCAATGGCGTACCATCTGCACTGTGCCCACGATATCATCGTAAACTATCTTAAAGGGAAAGCCTGTAAGTTGAGCGATTTACACAACACTTAACCGTTGAAACAAAATTTTGATTTTGGGTGTTATGATCTTTCCTGTTTCAGTTGATTCATATGAACAAGGCGTGCTGTTGGACACAATTTATGAACTGGCCAATATATACAGCTTGATGCGACTGCCTCGTGATAGTCGCTCCTATGCGAAACCTGCTGTTCTATTGGCTCAGAAAACGGTCTTGCCACTTAAATGTATATCTTTTCTGCTTCTGTTGGCGCATTGCGATCTTGCCACTGGAAATATGGACCACTACAACGTGAAATTGATTGGTGTTGACGACATTCTTAGCCTGAGCCAGTTCAAGTCCTCCACACTAATAACTAAAGAATGTACTGGGGGAGGCAAAGAAGAAAAAGTTCCGGATGATGTTGATGAATGCGATTATTTAATGGAGAATTTGGCGCTGGACTTCCCCCGGTTTACTAAACAGTGCTGGCCATCTTCTCCCGCATTACGAGTAGATTCTTTTGAGATTCCCAAGTTTGTTTCTCATGCGAAGGGGTGCTTGTGTTTCATGTGCCAGTCCTTTGTGTGCCAAGATTTATTATTAAAGCGGTTTCATTTGATCTTGGTGGCCAACATGTACGAGCAAGAGGATCAACTAGTGGAAGAATATGCAGTCGGATTCTTAAATCTGTATAAGAAACTGGCGCGGAAATTTTCCGGTTTCAAAACTGATGTCTCGAAGCTATTCCATGCGTCACTTATTCCCAAATTTAAGGACATTTTCAGTGAATGTTATTTTAATGTTCTATACATCTACAACGTGCATATGTGTAGCAACACATCAACAAAATCGGAAGCCCTCGAAATGAACAACCAGCTAATCCAGATGCTGGAGCCCAAGAAAACCCAGTACGTTCATCTGTATCATGATGCTCATTTATTAACGCTCAACTGCCGTCCATCTGTTGAAGACGAAGCTTCAAAACCTGTTAGACCCGAAGCAGCAAGATCAGAAGCTAGCAGTGTCCCCATACTGTTAACGCCTCCTAATAAAATAGCTCCTATTTCGTTGATGGTAAATGGAATAGAGCAAATCTCGCCTCCAAAGCAAAAGCGAACCAAATGCAATCTCTTCAACACAAAAACTCAGTCTACACCAAGTAATGCCATTGCCACTCGCATCCTCCCATCGCGAAAGATAAAAAAATCAGCTGCAGTTAAGCCGTTAATTGCCCCTAAAACTATTGATATATTTACGGATGATAGTCCGGATGCGCCATCGTCTACTACTAGCAGGAAAAGAGTCGCGAAGAAGCCAGTGATTGATGTGATGAAACCTGATCCCACAAAAAAGTCGCTTGGAAGTAGTCAGTCTCCAGAGCCGGCCCAAAGTAGCGCTACGGGCATTCGAACCAGAAATCAGGCGAAAAAACAACTGAAAAGTGCAGAAACTGCAACTGGATTGACTACAACCCGTAGTACAAAATCTACAGAAGATAGGCCGAAGGATAAAGTGGTAGCTTCTAGGAAAACAGCCGAAAGCATACCGGTCGAGGATAACGCGGATGATTCTTCGGTGATACCCGCTTCCCCGGAACATGATGAGTATGCGAAAAAAAAAGAGCGGCTGAAGCAGAAACTTCAATATTCAGCTCAAAAATCGAGCACCAGCAGCACTAGAAAGTGATGCAAGTGAATAGATAGTAAATGTTAAATAGTCGTGTGCGTATATTTTTTCATTACAAAATGTTTACATTTTTGCGTCTTAAAATCATTGAACCAGCGCTGGTTATTTAAACACTTCGCTGTAAGCTGCGTTATATAAATGTAATATTTATTATAATAATGTAAATGTTATGTAAAATAAATGTTTTCTACTTTTAGCACCCAAGTTAACTAATTACCCAGAATATTAATTGAGTCCTTATTTGCTGTACAGGGTGCTTCTAAATGTTGGTTCTATTAACACTGGCCTTTGTTGCTTTGCATACCGGCAGCCAATAGTTGCAATCTCCTACAGACTTATACAGGATACCTAAGAAAGGGCTTTGCTTATTTGACCATAAAAAAAGAATTTTTTCCTGTTTTAGATCTATTTGCATTTACATAATCTACTTCTTTTTGATGCTTTTGCAAACCCATTCCATTCCTTCCCGGACGCCAGTGCCTTCAGAGGCGGTACATGCTTGAATTTGCCAGGAACGATCTTTAATAGTGGGCAGGCCTAAAGCTTGAGCGAGATCTGAGGCGGATAGTGAGTCTGGCAGGTCTTGCTTATTTGCGTAAACCAATACGGGCACGTTATGTAGCTTATCGTCGCTCAACAGTTCATAAAGCTCAATTCCAGTTTCCTCTAGGCGCTTCTTATCAGCCGAATCAACCACATAAATCTGAAAAATCTAATTTTTTTGGACAATTCATTCAATAGTGGTGGATATTTTACCAAGACGTCGGTATTTTCAAAGTAATTCTTCCAGTAGGGGCGAATTTTCCTCTGTCCTCCTATATCCCATACGTTCAGTTTGAATCCGTCGCTTATCACAGATTTTATATTGAATCCTGCTGTCGGCGTAATACTGGTAATGTCTTCAGAAGCCAATATTTTCAGAATGGTGGTTTTCCCCGCGTTATCCAACCCTAATAACAACAGTCTTAGTTCGCGCTCAGGGGCTGACGTGAATTTCCGCAGAATGGATAAAAGGCCCTGAAAAGTTGGTGATTTACATGTTTTTTTAAATCATTAATGTTTTATTCAAATGAGATATTTAGGGTTTTTTTAAATTCAAATTTATATGTCGAAGCGACAAAAAAACCCACGGAACGACGCACGTTGAAATCGGATTTTATAAGTAAGTTGCAGTAAAATCCATACAAAAAATACGTAAAATGAAAAACGGTGTTTGAAAAAGTGGATTCTTGTAAAAATGCGGTTTCTGCCATCTCATTTTTAGCTCCCCAGTTTGAAAACATGTTAACAAATTTATGCGGAAAATCGGCATGTGTGTCTGATGGGCGGTAGGCGTTTATTTAAATCGAACAATCATTTTAAACACAATCCTTTTTAATGTTATATAATAGTTTGTGAGCGCTTGGTTAAGTCGAACTCCAACTACAATCAATGGGTGATAAATCGGGGTATACTGGTGGCCAATAGGAAACCATGATTTTGCGTTTTCCTTTTCTAGGGTGTTGGTTATCCTTTCCTAAGAAGGTTCCAAAGAAGGAGATGTAGGAAAGCAAATTAATATTTTGTAAAACGTAATACGACCTATAGCTCTAAACTATTTCAAATAAATTCGCTTACCAAGCGCCATAAGGATTATAAATTCCGAAATATTACCGGACAAATTTAAAAAAGCACCCAAGAGGATTTTAATAAAAATTTCATGCAAAAAAAAAATTATTTAAAAAAATACCACATTTTGCGCCCATTGGGATATCATAATAAAAACTAGACAACAGCGCAAATATCAGCATCCATATCTTCTGCACACGAATTATTTCTAGGTTATATATCCATGACAACAACAATAATCTACATAACAACACACAAATTCTGCTACTTTATTCGCAGTTTCTTTTGCCAGTAAATCCCTCACACCTCATTTATTCGGTGCAAAAAGTGAGGTAAAATCTAACTTACCATCTCGGGAAATTACTCGTTTGTATAGTTGAAGATTATGCAGCAAAAGGTCCAAAAGTTCTGGATTGCAGTGCCTGACACGGTCTGCCAAACGTAAAAAAATCGACCAACTGAAACGCTGCTAATCGATATTATGCGGATATTATGCAAAGGATTTAATTTATACAACCAGTTGAATTGCCCAGCGAAATGTCCAACTGTGGGCGAATTTCAACTGACTGGAAACTGCAGCCCTGGAGACCATTTTTCCATTGCCCACACCTACTCAGTTCTGGCCAGTGACACTGTGCTTAAACTGCATTGTAATTTGGCTAAAACCCAACAATTAGATCTTTGCAACACGAAAATATCCCGAGTAACTGTTGGAGATGACAAACTCCTGGTCCTTGCAGAAGACGGCCAGTTATTGAAAGTTTCCCTCAAAGATTGGAGCCCTGCACCTTTACCAAAATTCATCGGCAATCAAGACCGCGTTAAATGCATCAGCTCCACTTCCAAGCTCTTCATGGCATATTCAGAAAATGGGCTTTTATACACCATTCCAGAACAAGTGGATTTTGTTAACAGGAACATAGTCGACATGCAATGTGGAAGAGAGCATTGCCTGCTGCTGGATACTGATGGAAACGTTTATAGCTTTGGTGCTGGCAGGCACGCTTAATCATCAAGTAATTTGCCATTTTATAAATTGCAAATGTTTCAGTCGCGGGCAGCTTGGGACTGGCCAGTTAGATGACCAATCCTCTCCTGTACTGCTCCAAGCTCTGGCTGGGATTAAAATAGCTAAGATTGCAGCAGGCGAGCAAAAGCTAATTCAAAAATCGGAAAATTTGCTGAGGATTTTTTTTAAAGGTGGTTGGCACTCGGCTGCTATCAGCGAAGAAGGCGACCTTTACACATGGGGCTGGAACAGCAACGGCCAATTGGGGCTGGCCTCTTTTGAGGCGGGCAAAGAGAAAACTGTCTCAGTTATGGCTACACCCCATGTAGTGGACATTGATAATAGCTCGAGTTTGAATGTTACGCAGGTGGCATGTGGAACTAAGCATACCATCGCCCTCTTAGGTAAGTTCGCTTCTTAAACTCGCGACTATGAAAACTCGATTCGGTTATTTCCATTGCTTCTATCGAAATGTTGCAATTTCTGGTTTATCTGGTAAAAAGCAACATTTTTCTCTTCAAGAAATCTAGCGTGGTTTTCTTTCAACAATGCCCTATTTGCTCATCAGCCAAATTTAAAATCTTCTTTCGTACCTTTCTCCACATTAAATTAGAGACAAAACTGTTTTTAAAGAGTGTCGTCTCGATGTGTTCTATGCGACATTCAAGCATATCCTTGGAAAATTTCCTTTGTCTTTCCAGCTAAAGTTTGAGAGTCTAATGTTTTAGGACTATCACCTCCATCAGGTCAAGCAGATTGTAATGATTTTTACATTTATTCAACGCCTTGTGGTTTGCCAAACATTTTCCGTTTACTTCTGCTGCATAAATCGCTCAAGGTTCCTCAAAATAATTTCCATCACTGATTAGCGGTTGTGGTGAGAGGCACCGATATAGAATGGGTTGAATAGAGGGAAATTCCCAAGCCTCCAAATGATGGTGACCGTAAAAGTCCCTTTTGATTCAGTTTGGTAGTATAATTGCAGTTTTCGACTTCGACGAAGTTTTTTTCCATTAAAATGGGCATTTGAAAAGTGAAACTTCCAGGCTTGGTGAATTTGTCAAACTTCACGAAATGTTAATTCCTAGTCAAACAGTTTATTTTGAGCAATTTCACTGTATATATCGTTGATATTTCATTTCGATCGCACCGGATGCTGATTTTTGCGCTCTTTCTAAAGGATGGTCTAAAAATGGGTGTTTCACTCAACTGCGTTTTTTTTCAGTAAAAATACATAATTTTCGATCCTGCCCAAGTATTTCCTTCCATATTTGCGAGATTTGAAAATGAAAGAAATGAAGCCGAAAAAGTGCCACTTACTAAGAGGTAAATTGTTACACTCTCCCAGTTTTTCCATAGACGAATTGCAAAATCTGGGGTCTTGTTAGGTATATTTTTTTTTGCATCTTCACGCGTTAATTTTTCAGGGTATTTTGTCACTTTTTCGGAATTTTAGAGAACAACCATCTGTATGGATGCGGCTTTAACAAGTACAAGCAAATCAAATCTGAGGACCGAGAGGACTATAATGAATTCACTTTTATTCGCGACTTTTCCCAGGAAAATGTCGATAGGATTTTGTGCGGGCCTTGGAACTCAGCCCTTATAGTTGATAGTTAATAGTTACTGTTATTTAGAAATCAACCAGACCCAGTAAGAAATGTGTGCGCCAGTAAACTCCGCAATTTTAACGTATCGTCTTAAACTTTTGACTTATTAAGGGAAATATTTTTTGAAACGACAACCTAAACTCGACGTGAAATTTGAGCTTTACATAATAATTCATTTTCCTGCACAGAAAATACGTTTGGAAACCGGATAACTGGTGTTGTGTGTACGTCGTTGTACGAAATGGAGTCGTGCGGAAAGTCCGCTTGAAGCAAACGATAATTACTGCGGAAACTTTCGGCATACAACATAATATTTAGATGTAACTGCACTGTAACTGAGTAAGGAATTACTAGTCACGTTTCAGTTTAATCTAGATTTTATTTCCTCATCCACATTTTAGTTAATATTAAGTCGTAAAACCTGCCCAGTGCGGTACGTAAATAATTACAAAAGATTATATATAATAAAGCGACATACAAACACACCGGTTTGTAATTCAACACATTTTCACGAGCAATTTTCATAATCAATCTCTGCTGTTGCAATTGCCCAAATAGACAATTAATTATAATTTTTTTACTTTCCAAAAATATTTCGATGACAATATTAATTACTTTAGTAATCACATTGTGAGCGCTACTCTTTCATTATTGGCCATTTGGTTGCTAAAGGCACATCATTAGTAACATTGATGCTCACATTCATCAATCTCTTAATTCATTTTAGAATAATTAACAGCGATATTTTTCCACTATTCGTTTTTATATAACATACCTTCGTTATTGATTAAGGGATGTTTCCGCACGAAAGACTGCCTAAGGGATGTGTAATTAAAAAAAGATTAACCTCGTTATGGGATTTTACTATTTTTCACGAATTAAAAAAAATTGCAAATTTAAGGTGTCGTTTAATTGAATTTGCCCTAAATGCGATGCCCCAGTAGCGAGTGTTTTATATTATGTGCAATTAAAATTATTTATTCCGAATATCAAACATATTCTATAAATTTCATCATTTCCACACGAGGAAATTGATATTTGTTAAATTGTTTATTTTAGTTCACAAATATTTTATAAATAAATTAAAAGAACAAATTAAAATATCCAGAACTGATTGGAATCATGCGTTTTATCGACTAAATTATTTCCAGTAATGCCCAAATTTGAACTGTAACATGCTAATCTACCCGTTCTCTGTTGGGTAAACTGCGGGCAATAATAAATTATCGTGGAGTAAACATAACGTATTGTTTAATTATTGCCCATTAATAACAAAAGCAAGTACAATAGGAGGTAAAATTGAATCAATTAATTTCGGGGCATTATTAACGGCTACTAGAGTGGTGTGTGATAAATTCCTATTCGAGAGGCGACTTAAGTAATAATTTTTTTTGTGAACTACTTTGATTTTTTTCGTTTAGAGTTTTATCCTATTGTCAATCACAGTGTAGTCATGTTTTTGCGGAAATGCGAAATATAGTCATAGATAAAGTGGAATAAAGGGAAAGTTAACGAAGTTCGAATAATGCGACATTCGTTATCCACATTAACGGGCATGCGATTTTTCCGGAGCTCGACGAAATAATTGGATTTCCCTCCCATGAAAAATAATATTTTTGGGACGGTGACGGTGTAGCAATAAACGGAATGTCCATTTGTTCGACGGCATTCATTATCCGGGACGATTGTGTAATTTGTTTGGTTTTTTTGCCGTTCTAACGTTACATATAAATTAGTTCAAAGCAAGGCTTTTCTTTAAAATTGAGCGATTTGTTTCCCCCGGCCGGCGGGTTCGCTGTAGGATTTAATCTCATTGGATCATTTGATTTGAAAAGCAGCAAAGTAAGTTTTTCGTTTAATTTAGCGAAACATTTACTCAAGTTGTATAAAGGAAATGGAAATAGTTCCATTTTGTCATGCGAGGGAACTTCAAAACAATCCTATTGACTTTCTTAATACATATCTTTTTACGGTTGGAAAACGTTAAATTCGGGTCGAAAACATCCTTCGCCAACTTTCGTTGGCCTAATTCCAGATTTTTCCCACGAGTGGTTTTTTCGCATTTAAGCTGAACGAGACTGGAATTTTCGGGTTATTGCAGGACCGGAGTTTCAAGTGGTACTTTTCCCCACTGTCGAAGTTTATTCCAATTTGAACAGCGTGATTTCTATTGCTCCCAAAGCCAAGTGGAATTCACTTTGTTGTAGGAAAAATTGGACATAACAATTTGATTGTTGAAATGAATCTGGGGAGTTTCGAACCGTGAAATCGTCGAAGAACTCTTTTTTTACCACCGTCTAGAATACCGAAAAACTCCACAGTTTCACGCAATGGCCCTGAAATCCTAGTTCTCATGATAATTGCTGAAATGCAACTGAAGTTTGAAGCAAAGAGGAATTTGCATGTCCAAACCATTGTTTCTTCTTGATTACTTCCTGAAATTTTTCTGATGGTAAACCACACGTGAAATACTTTGAAGAATAGCAGGAACGCTTCTGATGGAAACACTTCATCGTTAAAGTCAAAACGTTCCAAACAGCTACCAACACAAGCAAAAAACAATCAGCCCTTGGCTGCAGCTGTAGCTGACCTGAGGAAAGCTGTCGCTGAAATGTTGCAGGAAGCGCCGGCCCTCGATTTATGCTGACACTAGCAGGTATTTATGTGGGAGTGATAAATAGCGAATATCTATCGACTGAAGGGTCACTATTCTGGGGATTAAAACGCTGACAATCCCATATGCATGCAGAATCAATTGCATAACATCGGAAACAGTAGGTTTTGAGGAAAAACATGGGCGAAGCCTTTGGATTAGTAGGTGGCCAGTAGGTTTACCTGATTTTAGTCCGTTAAACTATTTTTATGTTTATGTAGACAACGAGGCGGAACCAAAAGTGTGTATGAGCATTTATTGGTTTAAATGAGGACAAGTGTGTTTTTGTGGCAATCCAATAAAATCCTTCAAACCTCCTTAAAAAATCGAAATAATTTCTCATTTTCCAAAACATTTTCCGTTATTTTGTGTTTCATAATAGCCTGCGTGTTTTACCTTCTTCCCATCTGGAGATTGAATTCGGGAAGTTTATTTTAAGTAACATTTTAAGGGAGTTTTCTTCTAAGCCGGCATCTGGAAAGCTACTTACATTCCGCTGTTTCCGCCCGAGAGCAAAACAAAATAGAGAAATAATTAATGTTAATACTCACGTTGAAAATTCAGCGAAATTTCTGCTTTAGTTACGGGGAGAAAATGCGATTTTCTCGTTAGCCGGTTGTGGCAGGCGCAATTTCCCGCAGTATTAAATAGTGCAATTTAGCGTATTGACAAAAATGCCATTTTCCTAAAGAATTTATATCCAACTATTACCGATGATAAAGAGATCGCTGATGTAAATTAAAAAAAAAATTAATTCCCGCTACAATTTTCTGAATATTTATTAATGGAAGTGAACTTCCGCACGAGTTTTCGCCCCATTATTTCCGGACACTCTGAATAAATGTGTATTATAGCTTTTGCGGGCCGCTGGAACAGGCAGATGTGAAATAACATTCAGGATTTATGTGTGGCTGCAGTACAATTCATTTTTAGCCGTTTTGCACGCATATTTCAAGCTTTTAACAAGCGCTCAAAGCAACAATTACAGATAATTCGATCTTCAATTATTTGCAATCAAGCTCAATTTAATTAATGCAGAATTGCATGGACAACTTACAAGGAGTTAGAGTATAGGTAGTCTGTGCTTGATGTAAAGCTGTGCTTAATGCCGCAATGCTACTAATTAATACCCGATGTAGCTCTAAACTGGTCACTCTGTCATTGGCAGTGAGGCTTGATTGATGGCCAGTTCTCTATTTGAAGAGAATTGAGCATCCACAGGGCGATTCGCTGTTAAGAACAGAAAGTTAAAACTTTGCCCAAACAGTGCCTGATGGTTAATAGAGCCAAACAAAGCACATGCAGAGTGAAATGTATAACATTGCGAACATTCAAGCCGTAAGCCGTAAGTTTCTTCACTGGCAAAATGAAGAGACTTGAGGCAAAGTCGTTGTTTTAGATCTATAGATTTACGTTAGAAAACTGTTGGGAACAAGCTCAGTTTAACTTTCGTTTGAATCGAGAAAGAAACTTAACTTTTCCAACTTCCAACCTTTTTACTCACTGCTAAAAGCTTTTGCTTTTGGTCAGCTTTTAATAGAATGTAAAAATGGATCTGATGAATATTTTCGTTTGATTTTATAGAACTATTGGAACAAGTTCGGGTTCACTTTATTTCAATCAAGTAAAGCAATTCAACATTTTCAACTTCTTAGAACTTCTTGAAATTAAAAAAATTAAAATTTGAATATTTTTTGCGTATTCCCCTATTCCGAGCTTTCAATGTAGAAAACCGTCCGATCGCAAAAAATCGCCGAATTTTACAGAGCAGCTGCAGTTCTGACCTCGTCTCTTCAGCCATAGAATAGAATTTCCCTCAATATTGAAGTCATTCCTCTAATCTAATTGAGGTAATTTGCTAGAAACTGAGCACCATTCTCTAGTTTAAATGGGACTCTCCATCGAATAATCCTTGGGCATGATTAATGGAATTGCGGAATTCTTCCGTCTGACTATTGAGGCCAAGTTTCATTATTGTTTAGCTATTTGAATGCACACAAAGTGGTGTTTTGACCACATTTTTAAACAATTTTTCAAGTCACTGTTTTTAAATCTTCTTCGGGCCCAAACAGGGTGTTTAATTAAGAAAGAGACCCTTTGATGAATTGTTCGAGAAAATGATTTTACTTTCTGTTAACTGAAGTGTACAATGCCAAAAGTACAGATCCTACAACGTGGGTGCTTGTATGTGCTCGTGAGAAATCCCAGTTCTTAGCGGCGTCTCTCTTAATTATGGTACGCCAACATACACCCTTCCCTAAGTGTTCTTTCACAAAGCAGGACAAGGTAAGTGTGCTCAACTATTTGTAAGACACATCCATAGTCTTATCAGGATTCCGTGCCAAGAACAGTGGCGTTTGTAACAATGTATATATTTGTGTATAGATTGTCCTTATTCTGGGCTTTTAAGGTCGATAATTTATTCGAAATTGTGCGCGCTGGATAAAATTCCTAGTTAAAAATTCGCATACAAAATGACTTCTTTCGAGCAGATTGTGTCAGAGATAAGGCAGGGCAGAGTATCTCCTTTTCCCGAAATTTACTTAAAGCGGGGTTTTCTAAAGCGCTTAGGGAACTTGAAATGGGGGCTCCGTTTTATTTGATTTTTGCCACTAAAGCGGCATTTAGTTGGGCTTTTGTGATTCCTTATCTTAATATGCGCCGACTGCATTGCCACAAAAAAAACAGCGAAGAGATGGGAAAAAAACGCCATTTGATTACGTTTGTGATTCACTAAAAAACAGGGTAGTTTTATGAATTTTCAGTTTATCTAGTTGGTTGAGGATTTCAGCTGCAAGCTTTCGCCAAATCTGCGCCTCTTTCAGCACTCAAACTTGACTAATTTAGGATTGCGGTTCATCGGTTTTTCTGTTTATTTTTACCGTCTTTGACACATAAACTGTTTTTTAACTAGAGCTTTAAAAAAATTTGTAGTCAATAAAATCTTCCCAAGATAATTAAATATCCACCTACTTGCGGGAAAGAAGTGCAATTCTGCATGGCGAAAAAATGCCATTTTCCAGCCCGAGTTTAAAATCAACGCGCTCGGAATCTATCAAGAAAGTTCATTTAAGGTTTTTCAGATGCAATTTAAGATAAGCTCATTATGAAAAACGCCAATGTTATGTAAATTCGGGAAATTGTGAGAGGCAAGAGCGAGGCGAGAAACCATTTTTTGGCCGTTTTGTAGGAGTTTTTTGATTAAGCGGTTTCGTTGAAGTAGGCCCTCGGGTTAGAGGAACAATTACCAAAATTACAACTTTTAACAGACTTTTCATTATAGTTTTATTATTGAAAAGTTTAATAACTATGCTAATTTCCACTGGAATTAAGTTGCACGGGACAGGAATTTTCTTGAAAACTTTAATTGCACTTCAACTAATTTGGATGTTTATAACTGGGTTTCAGGATTTTTGCTCGCGTCGAAAAAAACTCCAATTGCCTCCAGTTATTTATTATTCTTGCGCTATGGGATCGAGCAAACTCTCCATGTTTGAGCAAAAGAAAATGCAATTTTCCAGTATTCCTTTCTCGGGTTGTCAGTTACCGAAGTCAATTAATAAAGTTTGCGATTGGTTTGCTTAA